GGGGCTCACAACCATTCGTATCTCCTGTTCCAAGGCATTGGACTCCCTCTTCTGACCTCCACAGGCACCGCATGTTCATGGTGTACATGCACACATTCAGGCAAAACACTCATGCTCATAAAATTAAAAAAAAATCTAAAAATAACTGAAAATAAATGTTAAGAAAAATTAACCACCCCGCCATGGTTGCCACCGTTACTAACATCCTCCATGTTTGGAGGGAGCATGACAGGCCTTCTGTGAGACTGAAATTTTTGTCAGCTTTCTGAGGGTGGGGTTGACAGATGTGTGTAGTCATGCAAATTCTACCACACTCAGGAAAGGCACTGGAAGAGGCCAAAAGAGAGTGTTGGACCCCCTGCTGCAGGAGTTACAGGTGGTTGTGAGCAGTCTGGTGCAGGGAATTGAACCTGGGTCACATGCAAGAGCAGCAAGCACTCTTAACTGCTGAGCCACCCTCTCTAGTGCTAAACTTTATGCATTAAAAGAATAATTATTATTAGAACCTATCTATTTTTAAAGAAGCATGGCGTTGGACTTCTGCTTCGGGATCAGAAAGAGTTGTTTATTCTCCTAAAAATGCATGGAGAAGCAAAGTCATGCAACAATGGCTGTGGCACCCTGTAAATGGCAGCTAGGACAGTGACAACCTTGGGGTGACATCATGGATAAAGTCTAGAACAGTGATGACCTCGGGGTGACATCTGTATAAAGTCTAGGGCAGTGACGACCTTGAGGTGACATCCTGTATAAAGTCTAGGACAGTGACAGCCTTGGGGTGACATCTGTATAAAGTCTAGGACAGTGACGACCTCGAGGTGACATCATGGATAAAGTCTAGGACAGTGACGACCTCGAGGTGACATCCTGTATAAAATTGTGAACATGAGGCCTCTCTTGTCCTAGGACATCTGTTCTTCCTAAGATCATTCTACTGTGAGTTTGAGTTCCTGATGAATAGAGGTCACCGCAGGCCACAAAACACCATGGGTCACCTGACTGGCCAGGGCAGGGATGAACCAAAAGAGCACGCTAAGGGAAGGAAGCCATTCCTAAATGCTGTTTGGCTCCCTTTATGTCACCAGGACCAACAAACCCAGGGGAAGAAAGTTGCCTCGGCGCTGACTATGGCAGCAGTGAGATCAGGCCCTGCCTCAGACAGGCTCAGAGCTCTGGAGCCACAGCAAGGCATCAGGAGGTCTCAGGGAGGTGTGTGAGAGAAGAGAAACAAACCTGAGACTCAAAGGCCCCAAATAAGTAGCTTTTTCTCCCAACACTGCTGTCTCTGCCAGCCAAGTGGAAAGCTCCGAGGAACCGAGCAGTTGGCTCTTTTCTCACCAGAGCTAAGACATGTGAGCAAGGAAGCAATAAAACTTTTGAAGAAACCAGAAGGGGGCCATTTTTGCGATCTTAGTGTAGATAAATTATTTTTGTTTGTTTCTTTTCTTTTTGTCTTTGACAAGATCTGGCCTTATGTAGCTCAGGTTGGCCTCAAATTCATCGTGTATCTGAGGTTGGACTTGATCTCTTTAGCCTTCTGATTTCTCCTGAGTTCTGGGATTAAAGGCGCTCCATTAGTCCCATCTGCCTGGTTTTGAAAAGAAATTCTTTAAAAAGGCAATGGGGTGCCTTCCTTTTCTGTCTCTCTCCTGAAGAGGTAGCTGCTGTCGTGGCTTCTCTTCTCCATCACCCCCCCCCCCCCGTTTCTCTCTCTCTGTTCTTCCCCCTTCTCCCCTTTCTCCTTTCCTTTTGTAATTCACTAAATACCCATTTTCTCTGCAAATAAAAAAAAGGCAATAGGGCTTGTGAGATGGCTCAAGGGAGCAAAGATGTTTCTCATCAATCCCTGAACCCACGTGGGAGGTGGAAGGAGGCAATTGACTCCACACATATGCTGTGGCATGCTAGTTCCCTAACATTATATACACACACACGCATGCATGCACATGCACACACACACACAATAATAACACTTAAAGCAAACCTAAAGATCTGATCAATTATAGGAACTAAAATTAAAAACCTTAGCAGCAGTCAAAGACAGTGCTGAGAAAGTGAACAGGAAGTCGTGAAGAGAAAGAATACTCTCAGTGTGCGTATTCACAGAGACACATGCAGAATATCCAAAGGATCCCCAAATCACTATGGAAAATCCAGACAGCTCTATAGACCAACAAGCACACAGAGATGTCAAGATTCAAGAGGAACAAGGCAAGGTGTTAAGTGTCAGTTATCAGGAAAATGTCATTACAGTCTCTGTGAGGTACACTAGGAACTGTAAGGATGACTAAAGGGAAAAGCAAAGAATACCAAGAGTTCGCACTGCTATGGGGCAACCGCAATGACACAACCTGTGGAGCGAGATTTGATCTGACCACTCAGTAGCTTCTTCTGGAGTTAACCCTGTGCCTCTCCCCCGAATCACTAGCGCCATGCCTAGGAATACAAGTTCACTACAATACACAACTACAAATGCTTAAAAGCTTGAGTCACCCACAAAGAAATAAGGAGTAAGTTACATGTCATGTAAGAGGCTGAAAAAGGAAACACACCCAAATGAAGACAATAGCCATCACTGGTTCATGGGTTAGGGGGAATTTCACCTCCTTTCTGTAGCTGATTTTCAATGAATATGTGTTACTTTTTGTAGTTTCTTTTGTTTGCCGAGACAGTGTCTCTCTGTGTAGCCCTGGATGTCCTAGAACTCAGTATGTAGAATAGGCTGGCCTTGAACTCAAAGCTCTGCCTGCTCTGACTCCCAAGTGCTAAGATTAATGGCCACCACACCCAGCATATATTATTTTTATAATCAGAAGAGCCTTTAAAATAAAGCACACTAACATTTATTGAGCTCCTGCTGTCTGCTAATACTCCCCCATGAATTATTCACGCAATCAATCGTCAGTGACATTGTGAGGAAGCCTGAGAAGTCCGAAGCAAGGCCTTGAGAACGCGGCAATGTGGCCGTGTGGACGATGGCGGAAACCCCAGCGCTCAGGTGTGTGTGTTTAACCTCTGCTGTCATCCTCTGAATCCCATTTTACAGGTAACCTAGATGACACGTGAGCACTGGCAGACTGGTCCAGCTTGTCACATATTCAGCTTCTGTCAGTTTGACCTCTTACCCGCTGCGCAATCATAGGCAAGTTCTTTGACTGCCCAGAACCCCACTCAGTTCTCTGAGAAATGGGTTGATAACAGGACCTACTTCAGAGCTCTTTTTAGTCTGGATGTCAAACGTCCCACAGGTTCCTGCGTGGGAACACTTTGACCTCCTCTGGTGGTGCTGTTTGGGAGGTTGGGCCTAGATGGTGGATGTAGAACACAGGGGACAGGCCTTGAAGAATACAAGCAAGGCCCGCTTCCTATTGGCCTCTGCTTCCCGTGCCCCTCCCTGACAAGGCATGTGTGAGCAATCATGCTGGAAGCCTCTGCCTCCATGGACAGAGCCTCTCCATCCACCGTGCCCTCCCCGCCATGGACAGCACCCTCTACTGTGAACCAGCCTTCCCCTTAGCTTGCTCCTGCAAGGTATCTTGTTTCAGGGATAGGAAAAGTAACTGTAGACAGTGTTATGAAGATAAAAGGGCAAACTCAAGGGATGTAGTGGGAACCAACTCAGTCGCTGCGGCACTCGCTCTCTCCAAGGTATTTATTCAGGCCCTAAGGTGTCTAAGAAGCTGCCTGAGTAGCGGCAGGCGGGGCTGGGAATGTTTTCAGGCCACTGAAAGACTGACTGCCGACCTGAACCTGGGTCTTAATTAAGCCAGGTTCGGGCAAAGGTTTTCATTCAACCCTTCGACGACCGTTTCCTGAGTCCTGGCTGTAAGCTGGCACTTTGGTAGCATTCCCTGATGAGTTTTGGGTCCCTTTACCTAGAGGAAAGAGCTACTCTTGGCAATGGCTCCAGCCGGGACAGCACCTGGGTGAGTTTTGCCTAGAGGACAGAGTTATTCTGGCAATGGCTCCATCAGGGACAGCACCTGGAGGCTTCCCTTCCCCCACCCCATCTAACCAGCTCCCTTGGTCTTATGAAGCCCATCTCTGGCCTCCCCGGGGCCATCTTTCCTGAGCAGCCCCATGGAGCCTGTAGAATTACACCCTATCCCGTCTCACCTCCGCCTATGACACCATCCTTGGATCCTGCCCTGAAGTCCAAGCAATCAGTCTAGAACGCAGAGCTGACCAAACCCTTCTTAACTTCAACTATGCTATTTCCCATAACGGTCCTTCACACCTGACTCCTTGTTTATATTTCCAGTTCTATCCCCCACCCGTCCCATCTTGACACTGTCGCCTCTGTCCCCTGAACGTCTTTGCAGTCTCACGATTCAAGCCTTGTTGGCCGTCCCCAGCACTATGGAGCTACGCAGTCCTATCACCCACCATCGTGTGGGTCCACTGGAAAACTTTTCCACACTTCTCAAATCCCTTTCCCAGACTGCCTCCCAGAGAAGGCCTTAGCAGACTTCCTCTTCTGTGCTAAACTGGCTCCCTGTCCACACTTCTGACTGGCCATACTCTGAAGTCATCACTATGTGTGTCCCTTTTTGTCCCTCCACTGTTCCCAAGGCAGAGATAGGATAATTGTCTCTGCATCCAGTCGTCCAGTGGTTCTCAGCCGTCCCAATGCTGCGACCCTTTAATACAGTTCCTCATGTTATGGTGACCCCCGCCCCGCCACCATTGTTTTCATTGCTATTTCATAACTGTAATTTTGCTGCTGTTATGAATTGTAATGTAAATATCTGTGTTTTCTGTTGGTATTAGACCACCCTTGTGAAAAGGGTCCTTTGGCCCCCCAAAAAGGTTCATGACCTACAGGTTGAGAACCATTGCCCTAGTCAGTAGGGACTCTGATTACCTGGGTGGAGCCAGGTCAGTGAGAACACGCCAGGGTGAAGAAGGGAGCAGTGTGTTCCAGGGCCCTGGGGGCTTATGACCTTATGGCTTCCCAACAGACCACTCTTCCCATTCCTCCCAGACCCCTCTCCCCTCACCTCTGCAACTTCCCCACATCACAGGAGATGTTCTCTGGCGGCCCACACGTGGTGAAGCACTCAGCAATGTCATTCAAGTCAAAGTTGTCATACTCATGGTTCCCCTTGAGCAGGCAAACGTTCCTTGACTCTTCGGTGGTCTCAACATACTCTGGATGCTCTTCAGATCGTATAAATCTTTCGCCTTTTACTAATGGAGGAAACAGAGCGACAAGGGGCAGGTAGCGGAGGGGCAGTGGACTAGGTAGGTAGCTGCATCTGTCAATCGGCTAGCTGCCCTCCCAGCAGGCTCCACCCTCCCCAACTCCCAAGAGCCACTCCTACCTCACGGGGCTGGTGTGGTGACTGGGGGAAAGCATGGCACGTGATTCTCTAGACAAAGGCTTTCCATGCAGTGCACCCCGAAGAGCTTTCTCTGCCAGTCCTGTCACCCTCGAATGTCTCCTCTGCAGAGCCTGCCTGGTTCCCTGCATTGCTCCATTGGATCCTCCCAGGCCTGGCAACTGCGGCCGGCTCTAACTCACAAGTCTTGCTTGACCTTAGCCTCCCAGCTTTGCCTGGGTAGGTAGGGGCTGCATCAGGCCCAGGTGCAGGGAGGGGACAACAGAGGGGCTGGAGCAGTCAGCAGGTGGAAGCTACTCTAAGATGAGACAGAGCAAGACAGACCAGCTTCTGTGACTTCTACTTAGAGCCCTGTGCGGCGGAGCCCAGAGGCTTCCTGTCACAGCCTGGCTGTTTGTCCTCAGGAAAGTTACTCAATCTCTCTGAGGCTTGATCTTCTCACCCCTTTTGTTTCAGATGGAAACAGATTATACACCTGGGCACACAGCCCATCTTATGTAGGACGATGTGGTGTGTTTTTGTTTTTTTTTTTTTCTGAGACAGAATCAGTCTTTTTACATATCCTGGGCTGTCCTGGGACTCACTATGTAGACAAGGCTGATCACAAACTCACAGAGAGCCAACATGGTTTCTCTGTGTCACTTTGGAGACTGTCCTGGAACTTGCTCTGTAGACCAGGTTGGCCTTTAACTCAGAGATCTGCCTGTCTCTGCCTCCTGCATGCTGGGTTTAAAGGTGTGTGCCACCACCTTACGAAGTGACTTTTAATTGAAGTAAAATTGGTGTGTGTGTGAGAGAGTGTGCGTGTGCATTTGGACTTGTGTGTGCGCGCACGCACGTGTGCGTGTGTGCATGTGTGTGTGTGTGCTTGTGCATGTGTGTGTATATCACCCATTGTCTCTATCTTTTATTAGCTTCTGCAAACACTTCAGGAAAGGCTCGTATCACAGGACTCTGCATCAGAATTTCACCACGCGGGGTTGGAGTGTGGCGCAGGAGAGCGTCTGTCTGGTATGTACAATGGGTCAGTCCTAGTGTCCAGAGAAGTGAGTGTGGGCAGGGGCGGGGCTCACTAGGCAAGCCACTTAGCATGCGGGAAACCTTGTCTCCCAAAACAAATGCAGAAATGACTGTTGCTAGTCTCTATCAGTTTCCCTTCAGAAAACACGTGTTCACACTCGAGACCCTCCACTCGTCACTGGCACCTTTCCCTTCTACAGCCGCAGCCCATTCCTCTCGCTTCAGGCTCCGGGTGTCAAGCAAGCAGCTACCACTTTTGTGCGCCCCTTTTAGCACCACACATGCTTCTCGAGTGTGTGAGTAAAGGGACTTGGGGGGTAAATGGAATATGTCATCCGATGCACCGCAAAGGGCAGAATCCAACGTCCTATATGAAGCTGCCAACTCCTATGTCACTCAGATGACTGACATCACCCAGTCCTGAGCATCCCTGCCACCATTAGATCCACATCACCACTTGGAAAAGCCTTGCTGGCCTTCCCAGGGTTGCCTGGCAGCCTGCTCTGCCCCAGGATGCGCTCCGGCCATGGCAAAGACAACTCTGTCATTTTCTATCTATTTTTGTATCTGGAGCCTCCAATAGCCCAGGTTAGCTTCAGAAATGTTGTACAGCTGAGGCTGAACTCAAACACCTGATCCTTCTGCACCTACCTCCCAGGTGTAAGCATGTCTCACAGTATCTGCCCACTTTTGAGCCAGACATTGAACTCTGTCCTTTACCAATTCTCCTAACATCTAAAGAAAAGAGATTTTTTTTTTAAAACCAAAAGATGCTGACCCATGTGGCCAGTCACAAGTCCACAGGTGACAGACATGCAGAGGAGTGGACCCCGAGGATACTTGTCAAAGTTGGAGGAAACAAAGGCAGACAGGGCACAGAGACAGGAGCACTCACCACACCACTCCACAGAGTCAGCACTGGCAGCCAAGGACGTGGAGCCGCCTGCGGAGGTAAGGGTGGGAGCTGGCTGCCCTGGGGTAGAGCATGACCAGGAACCCATGTTGGTATATTAAGCAGAAATGAGTGTGACGGGAGTGGCCTGGGTGTCAGCTCCGATCACTGATGACACTGAGCAGCACTGACAGGGAGGGGGAGCCTGTGATGGGTGGACTATGGGGGCAGAGCACTTGCTCACCCTTCCAGGCTCAGATTCCAGAGGCCCCAACACCTCTTTCTGGAACCCAGAGGCTACTGAATAGCTCGTTTGGCCCACCATGTCCTAGAACCAGGTTCTAGCCCAGCGGGGATGGATGGACATTTATCTTTCCACCCCACCCTCAACACGCTATGGAATGACAGAGGGAGCTGAGACCCAGCATGACCGGACTTATCAGGACAGAATGACCCAACAGGACGAAAGAGATGATGAGGTGGTCACTCTCATTCCTCACTTCCCCAGCCTGACTGAGTCCCTGGATCTCTCCCCATGCTCCCCGGGGTCCTTCGCGGCACGGCATCTTGCAGCCTTTGCAGGAAGGCTAGAGGAACCACGTGTGCTCACCTGAACCCAGTAGCAGAAAGAGCAGGAGGCCCAGGCTCCTGGCTGTTGCCATTAGTGTTCAGCAGAATCCGGTGGCTGTGTGGCCTCCTAGTCGCAAGGTCTGTCCACTGGCCTTCCTCCTGCCTGACGTGCGGTCACTGTTTCCTGTTTCTTCTTTCTTGTTCTTCCTGCCCAATGAATGGCGCCATCGGTGGGGTTGTGAAAAGTGGCTGTGGGGAACTAGGAAGTGCTCTGTGACCCACATGGTCCTGAGATCACCTGGAGATGGAACTGGGCTCAACTCCCACCACCTTGCCAGTGGGCACTGCGGAGCTGGAGTCCAGCAGCCACAGGTGTCTCTGCCCTGAGTAGGCTTGGAGTCTTGCACACCTTCCCCATTTCCCTAGCAAGGGTGTGGGAAGCTCATTTCCGCCTCTGTATGCGCGTAAGTGTGCATGCATGTATATGACTTCCCTTCTTCCTACCTGGTCCAGCAGTGGCCAGCTTGGGGACAACGACCATCACTTCTCAGAGCGGATTACCATCTCATGCCAGTGTTGGTTAACTGATTATGCATCTCCTCCGCAGAGCAACTCCACGCATCTCAAGTCACGAGTCCTTCCCGTGCCTGTGAGAGGGACCAAGTGGCGGACAGCTTGTGCACAAGCTGAGTGTCAGTGTCTGGATTTGACGAGACCTGTAACTGGCCAAGTACACCTGTGAGGCCAAAGACTCGGAAGTCATATGAATAAGACCAAGTGCGAACCTAACCTGCTGGGCCCGAGAGGAGAAGGGAGTTGATACTGTGGGCCTCGAGCCTCTCCCACAAGGCAGGATAACAGGGAGAATAAACTGGTGTCCTGGCTTCAGGAACAGGGGTGCGGGCCCTATGGAGGTGGCCAGGGTCTGGGGGAAGTGATCATCCTGACATAGCTGTCATGGCTACTGCCTGGCCTGGAGACCCTGCACTATCTGTCTGCTGGTTGGCCCCCCTCACAAGGCTTGGGCAGGACACATGACGTGTGTGGGGTTGGCCAGAACTAGCGTGTGACGGTAATGAGTGCTGCAAGGTTACTCACCCTCCCCAAGCTGCTCACTGGTGGTCCAGGCAGGAAGAAAGGGACTCACATACATACACACGCACTTACGCACGTACACAACACGTGCTTAGCGAAGGGGTGACCCCAAGGAAGTCATGGGTAAGGCCAGGCCCTCGGTGTTGTCACAGCCACTCAGTTGGACAGAAGACCCTCTTCACTAGCACCCCTCTCAGATCTGACCCTAGCTCTGCTCCGCTCTGGGGTCTTTCTGGGGGAGCTGTTACTCTGTAGCTGTCCTCTGTCTCCCCTTTCTTCCACACGTCCCCTGCTAGGCCCTTTCGACCTGAGGGGGTGTGAGAAGGGATGATGGGTCACTCTTGTTCTGGTAAAAGGTGGGTGGGGGATATAGCCTGGATTCCCAGGTCAGAATCCAGAAGTTCCTGTGTCCTGAGCTTCCTCTGACAGGAAGAGAAGAGCCACCGGGCCTGCCCCTCCTCCAGCCAGCCTCCTCTGGCTGCTTCTGGCCTCCCTCCTAGCAACAGGCAAGGGCAAGGATGTGTGAGATGCTGGGTCCTAGCGTCCTGGGGGCCACCCTAGAACCCATGCTGGCTCCATGGGTTCCTGAAAAGTGCCGCGCACCACTCCCCCTTGTCTGCGCTCTGTGCGCTGGCACCCAGTTCCCGAGCTTCGGGCAAGGGGCTGGAGGTTAAAATACACAAACACACACAGACAGAGAGACAGCGACATGGGTCATCCTTGAATTCCCCAAGAATGCCCCCTTTATTGTGTTCAGGGGCAGATTATATAGAGATAGCCACGCCCCAGCCAAACCCACTAGAAACCACTCTTCTGCCATCAGGAACTCCTGAAGATCTCGTGCTCAGAGCAGCTGTAGGCACTCAGATCAGGGGAAAACAAGTTGTTTACAAGAAATTCAGGATCTGGGGTCTCACTGCTCCCAACAGAAAAGGCCAAGTGATCCACAGACAATGGCATGGTGTCAAGTGTTCCTGGAAGGCCAGACAGGAGCAGCCAGGGGGGTGGAAGGGCCAGGCGAAAGACCCCCATGAGACCAGGGACTGGCCTAGCGTCCCTTCAAGAGCCCCGGGGTTCCCGCATTTCAGGACTAACATAACTGTAATGTCCCCTTCTACTACCTCCCTCCTCAGCTTATCCCAATGTTTTCTAGTCAGCAAGGCCTCAAGCCCTCTGCCAGGCCAGCCGGCATCACCTGGGCT